ATTCGAGTCGAATAAATTCGCTGTGAATTTTAACTTAAAAAAGGGTGTTTCTAGGCTTCAGAGAGACTTAATATTAGTGCAGCAGAACACTGTACCTTTAATTTAAATGCCCTTGGAGTCTGCTGGGGAAGAGAAATAATACTGTCACTCAGTATGACATGCAGATGAGTGCCGTCGATCTTAGAATCACCGCACACTGTCACACTGTGGACCCAGCAGCAGCGTGACGAGGCGGTACGGGGGCCCATGGCAGATTTGGGGCCTGGCAGCACCAATGGGAGGCCTGTAATCTGCCAGCAACCTATGACAAAAAATGGAAACCAGCAGGAGTGTGAGGAGACCTGAAAGTGGCACATGGCAGAGTGTGGCGATGGGACAGCAGCAATGGGAGGCGTACAGGGACCCATGTCAGACTGTGGACCTGGCAGCAGCATGGATGAGGAGGCGGTATAGGGGCCCATGGCAGATTAGGGGCCTGGCAGCAGCTATGGGAGGCCCGTAATCTGCCAGCACCCTATGACAAAAAAATGGAACACACAGCAGTGTGAGGAGACCTGAAAGTGGCACATGGCAGAGTGTGGCGATGGAGACAGCAGCAATGGGAGGCGATTTAGTCAGTTGACCCAGAGAACTGGACCTGCAGCAGCATGAGGAGGCGGTATATAGGGGCCTGATTCATGGCACAAAGGAGCCTCTCCAGCACTATTTGGGTGGACATCTGCCTCCCGGATGTCAAAAAATACCTCCTGCCGCACTAAACAGTGCTCCGATGACGCTAAAGTGGCCGGGCATGACAGAGTTGGCATGGCAAATTCAGCTAGCAATGGGCCAAAGGTCAAGTTTCGTTGCCCAGTAGTCAAGGGATTGTCTACCTCGGTTGGCAGGTGGGAGTCCAAGTAGGCCCATAAGCCTGTTGTTTGAGGTCCTGCTCCAGGTCCACCTGATGCTGCTGCTGCTGCGGCTGGTTAGTAGTTTCCTCACTGCGCTGGTGAAGAAAGCTACTCATCATCGACTGCAGACTGAGGCAGCCGCTGCTGGTGGAGCTGCTGCTGCACTGCTACCTACCACCCCCACCCCTCCCCTGCTGCCATGGCAGCGGAACGCGAGCGCACAGGGCCCACAGTGTCTGAGGATGGACGTTGGCGCACAAAGGCAGAGACCAGCTGACTACATAGGTGGTTTTTTATAGTACGTTATTTTGGGCCTCCCTCTCAGCAGGTGTGAAAAAGGCCACCATTTTTGAACGGTAGCGAGGGTCCAACAAGGTGGACAGCCAAAAGTCATCCCTCTGTCTGATGGTTATTATTCGGGCTGTCGCTACAAGCAAGCAACCGAGCATGCTATGGGCCATTTGTGCCAAGGAATGCGAGGGACTCCCTGCCTCCATCTCCACAGCATACTGCCACGGTGCGTCTGGGTCCTCTGTCTCTCCTCCTCCTCCTCCTCTACCAGATGCTCCTGCTCCTCCACTCCTGTCCGCTGAGTGGAAAAACCACCCATTTCACTCAATAATTCCTGAGCACCAATGTCCTCCTCTACCTCCTCCTCTTCTTCCTGTCCTGCCCCCACAGGGGTCATGTGGCGTTGAGATCTGTGCGCCACGTCTACCGCACCCTGACCAGCCATTGTTAACAGCATTTGTTCCAGGACGTGCAACAGAGGAATGACGTCGTTCATCCCATAGTCCCTGCCGACTCACGAATAGCGTGGCCTCCTCAAAGGGCCTGAGCAAGCGCAGGTGTCACGCATGAGCTGCCAATGGCTGACATCTAAGTTACACAGGGGAGTACCTTTATCCGCTTGTAACATCAGGAAATCTGTGATGGCCTTTCGCTGTTCGTAAAGGCGGTCTAACATGGTAGGGTTGAATTCCACCTTGTTGCAACGTCACAGCATGAGGAGTCGGAATACGGGGGCCCATGGCAGATTACGTGCCTGGCAGCAGCAATGGGAGGCCCGTAATCTGCCAGCACCCTATGTCAAAAAATTCAACACACACCAGCAGTGTGTGAGGAGACCTGAAAGTGGCACATGGCAGAGTGTGGCTATGGAGACAGCAGCAAGAGGCCGTACAGGGACCCATGACACACTCTGGACTTGGCAGCAGCATGAGGAGGCGGTATAGGGGCCCATGGCAGGCAGATTAGGGGCCTGGCAGCAGCTATGGGAGGAGGCCCGTAATCTGCCAGCACCCTATGTCAAAAAATTCAACACACCAGCAGTGTGAGGAGACCTGAAAGTGGCACATGGCAGAGTGTGGCGATGGAGACAGCAGCAATGGGAGGCCGTACAGGGACCCATGACAGACTCTGGACCTGGCAGCAGCATGAGGAGGCGGTATATAGGGGCCCATGGCAGATTAGGGGCCTGGCAGCAGCTATGGGAGGCCCGTAATCTGCCAGCACCCTATGTCAAAAAATTCTACACACCAGCAGTGTGTGAGGAGACCTGAAAGTGGCACATGGCAGAGTGTGGCGATGGAGACAGCAGCAATGGGAGGCCGTACAGGGACCCATGAGACTCTGGACCTGGCAGCAGCATGAGGAGGCGGTATATAGGGGCCCATGGCAGATAGGGGGGGCCTGGCAGCAGCTATGGGAGGCCCGTAGCCAGCACCCTATGTCAAAAAAAATTCAACACACCAGCAGTGTGTGTGGAGACCTGAAAGTGGCACATGGCAGAGTGTGGCGATGGAGACAGCAGCAATGGGAGGCCGTACAGGGACCCATGAGAGACTCTGGACCTGGCAGCAGCATGAGGAGGCGGTATATAGGGGCCCCATGGCAGATTAGGGGCCTGGCAGCAGCTATATGGGAGGCCCGTAATCTGCCAGCACCCTATGTCAAAAAATTCTACACACCAGCAGTGTGTGAGGAGACCTGAAAGTGGCACATGGCAGAGTGTGGCGATGGAGACAGCAGCAATGGGAGGCCGTACAGGGACCCATGAGAGACTCTGGACCTGGGCAGCAGCATGAGGAGGCGGTATATAGGGGCCTATGGCAGATTAGGGGCCTGGCAGCAGCTATGGGAGGCCCGTAATCTGCCAGCACCCTATGTCAAAAAATTCTACACACCAGCAGTGTGAGGAGACCTGAAAGTGGCACATGGCAGAGTGTGGCGATGGAGACAGCAGCAGCATGGGAGGCCGTACAGGGACCCATGAGAGACTCTGGACCTGGCAGCAGCATGAGGAGGCGGTATATAGGGGCCCATGGCAGATTAGGGGCCTGGCAGCAGCTATGGGAGGCCCGTAATCTGCCAGCACCCTATGTCAAAAAATTCAACACACCAGCAGTGTGTGAGGAGACCTGAAAGTGGCACATGGCAGAGTGTGGCGATGGAGACAGCAGCAATGGGAGGCCGTACAGGGACCCATGAGAGACTCTGGACCTGGCAGCAGCATGAGGAGGCGGTATATAGGGGCCCATGGCAGATTAGGGGCCTGGCAGCAGCTATGGGAGGCCCGTAATCTGCCAGCACCCTATGTCAAAAAATTCTACACACCAGCAGTGTGAGGAGACCTGAAAGTGGCACATGGCAGAGTGTGGCGATGGAGACAGCAGCAATGGGAGGCCGTACAGGGACCCATGAGAGACTCTGGACCTGGCAGCAGCATGAGGAGCGGTATATAGGGGCCTATGGCAGATTAGGGGCCTGGCAGCAGCTATGGGAGGCCCGTAATCTGCCAGCACCCTATGTCAAAAAATTCAACACACCAGCAGTGTGTGTGAGGAGACCTGAAAGTGGCACATGGCAGAGTGTGGCGATGGAGACAGCAGCAATGGGAGGTCTCCCATTGTCCCAACATGGCCCAAATAGTCCCAACATGGGCCCCCTGGCCACGCTTGACTTTCTGGCCACATAGTCGACATACGGCTACGTTTACTTCCTGGCAGCGGCTTGACGAAAAATTGCCACACCGCCGAGTAGGAAACTTTGCCCCCGATACTCCTCACTGGCTGACTGCTGCTTCCTCCGTGCACACCGGCACCACTACTGGCCGTGGTGGTAGGCTGCAGCTGGAGCTGGTGCTCTACTCCGTGGCCGTTTGGCTCCACTGACACTGCTTCCACTGACACTGCTGCGACCCTGCTGCTGTCTCCTCCTGGGCCCACCGACTGTTTCGCCACTGCCAAGCTGCCACCCTCTTCTCCTGATGATGCGGAAGAAATTGCCTGATGACGACGAGGCTGCCAAGTGCGATCAACCTCCTCATCATCAAGTAGGGTCTCCGCCTCACTACTAGCCCCCTCGGCTGCGTCTGGGTCAGGAGACAGACCTGTCTCTAGACCGGCTACCGGGCCACTCTCCTCGCCACTACTTCTTCGCCTGGCTGCTGAAAAGGCGGATGTCTCCCCCCGTTCCTGACCGCCCTCTGTTAGCTCTTCCTCACTGTACAGTGGGGCTGAGCCCACAGCATGCGATACTTCGCTTGGTGAGGGAACACCAAAGGACAGGGGCAGGTAGAGGACACGTGATTTCAGTGGGCTTGGTCCCGGGCCATGCCAACTAACGGTTGTGTCTGACGTACCCACCGACCGTTGGCTGTAGGTGTCAGAGGTGACCTGGGAAGAGGAAGACGACCGAGCCAACCAATCGATGACGGCAGGGTTGTCGGTGGAGACACCGACCGCTGGATGACACGGGGAGCACTGGCCTCTGGCTGCGAATAGTGCTGCCTCGACCCCCCCTTCCTCTGCTGCCACGTCTGCTCGCTCCTAAAACATTGCCTCCTCTGCCACTCCTCTGCATGTTGTCTGACATACTCTTTAATTAAACGATTATGTGTCCCTGAGTAACAATTCTGTGTCCCTGAGTAACAATTCTGTGTCTGTGCGAGTAACAATTCTGTGGCCCTAAGTAAACAGTTCTGTGGCCCTCAGTAACAATTCTGTGTCCCTGAGTAACGTTTCTGTGGCCCAAGTAACAGTTCTGTGGCCCTCAGTAACAATTCTGTGTCTGTGCGAGTAACAATTCTGTGTCTGTGCGAGTAACAATTCTGTGGCCCAAGTAACAGTTCTGTGGCCCTCAGTAACAGTTCTGTGGCCCGAGTAAAATTCTGTGGCCCTGTGCGAGTAACAATTCTGTGGCCCTAAGTAACAGTTCTGTGGCCCTCAGTAACAATTCTGTGTCCCTGATTAACGTTTCTGTGGCCCCAAGTAACAGTTCTGTGGCCTCAGTAACAATTCTGTGTCTGTGCGAGTAACAATTCTGTGTCTGTGCGAGTAACAATTTCTGTGGCCCTAAGTAACTGTTCTGTGGCCCTCAGTAACAATTTCTGTGTCCCTGAGTAACAATTCTGTGGCCCCGAGTAACAATTCTGTGGCCCTCAGTAACATTCTGTTCTGTGTCTGTGCGAGTAACAATTCTGTGTCTGTGGCCCCTAAGTAACAATTCTGTGGCCCTAAGTAACAGTTCTGTGGCCCGAGTAACAATTCTGTGTCCCTGCGAGTAACAATTCTGTCTGTGCGAGTAACAATTCTGTAAGTAACAGTTCTGTGGCCCTAAGTAACAGTTCTGTGGCCCTCAGTAACAATTTCTGTCAAGTGTTTCTGTGGCCCTGAGTAAATTCTGTGTCTGTGCGAGTAACAATTCTGTGTCTAAGTAACAATTCTGTGGCCCTCAGTAACAGTTCTGTGGCCCTCAGTAACAATTCTGTGTCCCTGAGTAACAATTCTGTGTCTGTGCGAGTAACAATTCTTGGCCCTAAGTAACAGTTCTGTGGCCCTCAGTAACAATTCTGTGTCCCTGAGTAACGTTTCTGTGGCCCCAAGTAACAGTTCTGTGGCCCTCAGTAACAATTCTGTGCCTGTGCGAGTAACAATTCTGTGTCTGTGCGAGTAACAATTCTGTGGCCCGAGTAACAATTCTGTGGCCCTCAGTAAATTCTGTGGTCCCTGAGTAACAATGTGTCCCTGAGTAACAATTCTGTGGCCCCCAAGTAACAGTTCTGTGGCCCTCAGTAAATTCAATTCTGTGTCTGGCCCGAGTAACAATTCTGTGTCTGTGCGAGTAACAATTCTGTGGCCCTAAGTAACAGTTCTGTGGCCCTCAGTAACAATTCTGTGTCCCTGATTAAACGTTTCTGTGGCCCCAAGTAACAGTTCTGTGGCCCTCAGTAACAATTCTGTGTCTGTGCGAGTAACAATTCTGTGTCTGTGCGAGTAGTAACAATTCTGTGGCCCTAAGTAACAGTTTCTGTGGCCCTCAGTAACAGTTCTGTGTCCCTGAGTAACAATTCTGTGCGAGTAACAATTCTGTGTCTGCGAGTAACAATTCTGTGGCCCTAAGTAACAATTCTGTGCCCTAAGTAACAGTTTCTGTGCCCTGAGTAACATTCTGTGTGCCCTGCGAGTAACAATTCTGTGTCTGCCCTGAGTAACAATTCTGTGCCCTAAGTAACAATTCTGTGGCCCTAAGTAACAATTCTGTGGCCCTCAGTAACAATTCTGTTCTGTGGTAACAATTCCCCAAGTAACAGTTCTGTGGCCCTCAGTAACAATTCTGTGTCCCTGCGAGTAACAATTCTGTGTCTGTGCGAGTAACAATTCTGTGGCCCTAAGTAACAGTTCTGTGGCCCTAAGTAACAGTTTCTGTGCCCTCAGTAACAATTCTGTGTGCCTGAGTAACAATTCTGTGCGAGTAACAATTCTGTGTCTGTGCGAGTAACAATTCTGTGGCCCTAAGTAACAATTCTGTGGCCCTCAGTAACAGTTCTGTGTGAGTAACAATTCTGTGTCTGTGCGAGTAACATTATTCTGTGTCTGTGAGTAACAATTCTGTCTGTGCGAGTAACAATTCTGTGGCCCTAAGTAACAGTTCTGTGGCCCTCAGTAACAGTTCTGTGTCCCTGAGTAACAATTCTGTGTCTGTGCCCTAAGTAACATTCTGTGCCCTGTTCTGGCCCTCAGTAACTGTTCTGTGGCCCTCAGTAACAATTCTGTGGCCCCTAAGTAAGTTCTGTGGCCCCCTAAGTAACAATTTCTGTGGCCCTGAGTAACAATTCTGTGTCTGTGCGAGTAACAATTCTGTGTCTGTGCGAGTAACAATTCTTCTGGCCCTAAGTAACAATTCTGTGGCCCTCAGTAACAATTCTGTGTCCTGTGAGTAACAATTCTGTCTGTTCTGTGGCCCTAAGTAACAATTCTGTGGCCCTCGAGTAACAATTCTGTGTCTGTGCGAGTAACAATTCTGTGTCTGTGCGAGTAACAACAGTTTCTGTGGCCCTAAGTAACAGTTCTGTGGCCCTCAGTAACAGTTCTGTGTCCCTGTGCGAGTAACAATTCTGTTCTGTGCGAGTAACAATTCTGTGGCCCTAAGTAACAGTTCTGTGGCCCTCAGTAACAATTCTGTGCCTGTGCGAGTAACAATTCTGTGTCTGTAAGTAACAATTCTGTGGCCCTAAGTAACATTCTGTGGCCCTAAGTAACAATTCTGTGTCCCTGAGTAACAATTCTGTGTCTGTGCGAGTAACAATTCTGTGGCCCTCAGTAACAATTCTGTCTGTGCGAGTAACAATTCTGTGCCCTGTGCGAGTAACAATTCTGTGCCCGAGTAACAATTCTGTGGCCCTAAGTAACAGTTCTGTGGCCCGAGTAACAATTCTGTGCCCTGTGCGAGTAACAATTCTGTGTCTGTGCGAGTAACAATGTCTAAGTGTCTGTGCGAGTAACAATTCTGTGGCCCTAAGTAACAATTCTGTGGCCCTCAGTAACAGTTCTGGCCCTCAGTAACACATTCTGTGTCTGTGTAACAA